TCCAATAACAAGAACAGAATTCAGGCTTTTAGTCATCATAAATATAAAGTTATAGCCTTTCAAGTGGTAAATAGCACCATGTCTGAACTTTAAATCATTTTATAAGCTTTACAAGTCATTTTCATAAAGATAATAAGAGCTCTATCTCACAGCAGACCTGGATGCCTTAAAAACCAGGATCCAAAACAGAAACAAAAGAAGAAAGTCGTCTTATCTACCACCAGATAATTTGAAGGCCAGTGTGTCAGCAGAAATATTAGAGACAGAATTTCTCTCTCCAAGCTTGCTACCTGCTGTGTGTGGGAAAGAGAGTTTCTGGGGTGCCAGCTGAGTTGGTCTCCCCTGTGTGAGACATCCATGGGAAGCCATGGGCGACCTCTGAGGAGAAAAGTCTCCTTATTGCCTTCATGTATTTATGCCCAGACAGCATAACCGCTCAGCAGCTTTCCACAGGTTGCTCAGGGAGATCACACTCCCTTGAAGCAGTGGAATATAATCAAACATCTTGGCTCCTCCTGAAACCTGCTCCCACCATTTCAGTCCCGGTAAGTTAAAGATCTTAAGTAGTTTAGACACACGCCTTTGGTCAAAGAATTTCACAGAAACCGACGCTGCTATACACCTTATCGAATGACTCATGAGTTCTCCTTCACTGATTAATCCTTTTCCTCATCCCTTCCTCCCCCTCCCGTCTGCCCTAAGAACAAAGAGCTTATAAACAATAAATTGGGCGGAGCCCGAGAGCTCTGGGCCATGAGCAAGGCTCCGACCCTCTGGTACCCTGGACCTGCCTTTTAAACGCTTATTGCTTATTCTGTCTCTTTCTAACTCCTTTGTCTCCGCCAGACTCGGGGTACGCGCTGAGTGGTGTGAGGCTGGTTTCCACAACACTCTGGAAGCATCTTCAGCATCTTAGTAAATGGGAAATTCATGAGGCAATTTTGGTGAATGGACAGATGGGGCCAGTTGATTGAATTGATGGGCTTGCAATCAGAATTCTCATTCACCTATGTCCTCACCAGCTTGGCCATATCCAGAATCTACTTGTGAATACTACTACTGGGTGGTTTTCAACTTGTACTTGATCCAGACATGTAAGTCTCTGATTTTAAAAACATATATGTGCTTGTGTGTGCGCATGCACTTGTGTGTGTATGTGAAACAGTTCTTAGTATTACCATGTCCCTGTGATTAAAGTCAATGGAAAACTACAATAACCCAAATTAGGCAGGGCCAAAAACCTTCAGGAATGAAGACTTGGGTCACCCCATTCGATAAAGAGCAACAATCAGGTTGTGTTAGTTCGTTTTCATGTTACTGATAAAGACATACTCGAAACTGGGAATAAGAGATTCAATTGAACTTACAGTTCCACATGGCTGAGCAGGCCTCAGAGTCATGGCAGGAGGTGAATGGTACTTCTTACATGCAGCGGCAAGAGAAAAATGAGGAAGAAGCACAGGTGGAAACCCCTGATAAACCCATCAAATCTCGTGAGACTTATTCACGATCATGAGAATAGCATGGGAAAGACTGGCCCCCAGGATTCAATTACCTCCCCCTGGGTCCCTTCCACAATGTGTGGGAATTCTGGGAGATGAACTCAAGTTGAGATTTGGGTGTGGACACGGCCAAACCATATCATTTCGCCCCTTGCCCCTCCAAATCTCATGTTCTCACATTTCAATACCAATCACACCTTCCTAACAGTCCTCAAAGTCTTAATTCATTTCAGCATTAACCCAAAAGTCCATAGTCAAAAGTCTCATCTGAGACAAGGCAAGTCCCTTCCTCCTATGAGCCTGTAAAATCAAAAAGTTAGTTACTTCCTAGATACAATGGGAGTACAGGTATTGCATAAACACAACCATTCCAAATGGGAGAAATTGGCCAAAACAAAGGGTTACAGGGTCCATGTAAGTCCAAAATCCAGCAGGGAAGTCAAATTTTAAAGCTCCAAAATGATCTCCTTTGATTCCAGGTCTCACATCCAGGTCTCGCTGATGCAAGAGGTGGGTTCCCATGGTCTTGGGCAGCTCTGCCCAAATGGTTTTCCAGTGTACAGTCTCCCTCCTGGCTGCTTTCATGGGCTGACATTGAGTGTCTGCTGCTGTTCCAGGCACACAGTGCAAGCTGTTGGTGGATCTACCGTTCTGAGGTCTGGAGGACAGTGGCCCCCTTCTCACAGCTCCACTAGGCAGTGCCCCAGTAGAGACTGTGTAGGGGCTCCAACCCCACAATCCCCTTCTGCACTGCCCTAGCAGAGGTTCTTCAGGAGGGCCCCACCCATGCAGCAAACTTTTGCCTGGGCATCCAGGCCTTTCCATACATCTTCTGAAATCTAGGTAAAGGTTCCCAAACCTCAATTCTTGACTTCTGTGTACCTGCAGGCTCAACACCACGTGGAAGCTGCCAAGGCTTGGGGTTTCTACCCTCGGAAGTCACAGCCCAAGCTCTGCGTTGGCCCCTTTTAACCAAGGCTGGAGTGGCTGGGACACAAGGCACCAAGTCCCTAGGCTGCACAAAGCATGGGGACACTGGGCCCAGCCCATGAAACCATGATTTCCTCCTAGGTTTCCGGATCTGTAATGGGAGGGACTGCCATGAAGACCTAAGACATGCCCTGTAGACATTTTCGTCATTGTCTTGGTGATTAACATTCAGCTTCTTATTACTTATGCAAATTTCTGCAGCTTGCTTGAATTTCGCCTCAAAAAAATGGGATTTTCTTTTCTACTGCATCATCAGGCTGCCAATTTTCTGAACTTTTATACTGTTTCCCTTTTTAAATGGAATGCTTTTAACAGCACCCGAGTCAGGTTTTGAATGCTTTGCTGCTTGGAAATTTCTTCTGCCAGATACCCTAAATATCTCTCTCAAGTTCAAAGTTCTACAGATCTCTAGGGCAGGGACAAAATGTCACCAATGTCTTTGCTAAAAACATAACAAGAGTCACCTTTGCTCCAGTTCCCAACAAGTTCCTCATCTCCATCTGAGACCACCTCAGCCTGGATTTCATTGTGCATATCATCATCAACATTTTTGTCAAAGCCATTCAACAAGTCTCTAAGAAGTTCGAAACTTTCCCACATTTTCCTATCTTCTGAACCTCCAAACTGTTTCAACCTCTGCTTGTTACCTAGTTCCAAAGTCGCTTCCACATTTTCAGGTATCTTTTCAGCAATGTTCCAGTCTACTGGTACCAGTTTGACTATTGGTTCATTTTCATGCTGCTGATAAAGACATACCAAAACTGGGAACAAAAAAGGTTTAATTGGACTTAACAGTTCCACATGGTTGTTGAGGCCTCAGAATCATGGTGGGAGATGAAAGGATCTTCTTAAATGATGGCAGCAAGAGAAAAATGAGGAAGAAGCAAAAGCAGAAACTCCTCATAAACCCATCAGATCTCATGGGATTCATTCACTATCACAAGAATAGTATGGGAAAGACTGGCCCTCAGGATTCAATTACCTCCCCCCTGGTCCCTCCCACAACATGTGGGAATTTTGGGAGATACAATTCAAGTTGAGATTTGGGTGGGGATACAAACAAACCATATTACAGCTGAAGTGGAAGAAAATGATAAATACTAGTTACAACCATGCAACCAGTTGCAGAAAAAAAGATTATAATTGTTATGAGTATTTATCCTTTATTTTGTTATGGAAATAAATACATACATAGTTTATAAAATATCTATTTTTCATCTATTATTCCCTTATAATGCAATATAACATACGTTAACTGAGTTAGAAGACATACAGAAGAATGAACATCACCCAAAATCTGTTAGAGGTTTTTTACAGTAGGTGAAAAAACTTAATTTTCCTTTTTTCATGAAAAATGAATTTAAGGATGGCAGTGGCAGTGGCAGCATGAGCGTAACCAGCTCTGACAGTGGGGAAAGCAACTTACAAAGGCTGTTCTGTGGCAGGAGTTTGCCTTTATCATCCTATTCTTGGTTTTCGTCTAATACTAATTTTCAAGTGTACTTATCAATTCTATGAGTTACCCATACCCTTCCAACAAATTATTTTTCTAATTAAATGGATTAAAGTTGGTTTCTAGTTATGCAACCAAGAATCTTCATAAGTATTGTGAACTACTACTTGTTGTGGGGAGGTAATGCTAGCTTAATATCTTAAAATTTCTTTTTTTTTAATTTAGTAAAAATTGTGAGAGGACAAAAGAAAATAAAGATGAATGTTTAATCTTGAGAAGAAGACATTTTGAATCATAAGGGAAGTGGCTGAAACCTCAAAGGAAAAGACAGATGTGCCAAACTACAAAAACATGTACAATGTGTATACATTATATAAAATAACAACAAAAAGTCTGTAAAAATTCAGACTAAACTGATGGCTGAGGGAAATCAATTACAGAATAAAAACTACCTTCCATAAAACATGAGTGATATGGTTTGGAACTGTGTCCCCACCAAATCTCATGTTGAATTTTAATCCCCAATGTTGGAGGAAGCCCTGGTGGGTGGTGATTGGATCATAGGATGGATTTCTCTTGAATGGGTTAGCACCCTCCCCTCTTGGCACTGCTCTCATGACAGTGAGTGAGTTCTCATGAGATCTGGTTGTTTAAAAGTGTATAGCATCTCCCCTTCTTGCTCTCTCTTGCTCCTGTTCCCTTCATCTGACATGTGTCGATCCCCCTTTGCCTTCCAATATGATTGGAAGCTTCCTGAAGTATCCCCAGAAGCAGAAGGTATTATGCTTCCTGTACAGCCTGCAGAACTATGAGCCAATTAAACCTCTTTTTTTTTTTTTTTTTTTTTTTACAAATTACCCAGTCTCGGGTATTTCTTTATAGCGGTGCAAGAACAGACTAATACAATAAGCAACTTCTTGAAAATTTTTAAGAAAATGTGAGCAATGAGTAGAAAAAGAATTAGAGGCCATATAGAAGTAGCTTACTAGGGACTTAGGAAAACATTCCCCAATACTTGGAAACAAAGAACTAGAAAAGTGATGATGGTCACTCACCAGAGTACTGTGTAAGGGTTCAGAGCAATTCAGGAATCCTGCTGCCCAAGTCAGTCTCCTGCTTTTATTACCATTCTTGAAGGGGGAGAAGAACAATGTGGAGATGGTACTATTGTCTACCAAAACAGAATGAAATGAGAAATAGAAATAAATGGATTCAGTTCTAAAATAATTTAGAAATGATACCATATGCAAGTAATATTCAGATAACATGAGTTTTCCTACATTTCAACCAAAATTCATTAGAAAATGTGTTGTAACAATATTTTCCCAATTCTAAAGGTGACAAAAAGCCATAGCTAGGAAATCGTTAAGTAATAAATAAGGACTATATGTAACAATTATTGAACACTTATGCGAATTATACCCAAAGAATATCCAAGAGGTATACATATGTCAGGATTTTAGAATTAGCCTACAAAGTGTTCAACCTTATAAATTACTAGTTTTAATGAAATGCCATCAAAAATGGATTTGTCTAGAAAATTTCACAAAATATTCCAGCATTTTAGGAAATGTAAACATGGAAGAATTATAACGTTTTTGAATGTTGGCCTCCTCTTTCTTTCTCCCTCCTCCTCCTCCAACCTTCCTCCTCCCTGCCCTCCACTTCCTTCCTCTTCCTTCTCCTCTGTTAAAAAGGAACTTTTCATTTTGGTTAATGTGGAAAGTCACAAAAGCTATCACATCCACTCTTAAAAATGAGGACAATTTATGGAGAACTATTTTGTTCACTGGAGTATAATTAATCTTAGCAAAAGTTCCACATGCACTTGAAAAGAATGATTGGTCTTCAGTTAGATATAATTTTGTAGAAGGGTAAACTAGATCAAGTTTCTTGAAAGTGTTGTTCACGTCTTCTCTATTTTTACTGGTGTTTGTTTACTTCTTTTAACAATTACCGTTAGAGAGTTCTTTATTCCATGTGTGTTACTACAACAAAGTAACTTAGACTGGGTAGTTTATAAACAATGGAAATTTATTTTCTCACATTTCTGGATGCTGGGAAGTTGAAGATAAACATGTCTCCTGAGGTCTGCTCTCTGCTTTCAAGGTAGCTCCTTGTTGCTGCATCCTCCAGAGGAGATGAATGCTGTGCCCTTACACGGTAGAAGGTGAAAGGGCAAAAAGGATGAACACCTCCCTCACACCTCTTTTATAAGATCATTAATCTCATTCATGAGAGGTCTGCCCTTATTACCTCCTAGAGGACCCATCTCTTAATACTGGCACACTGGCAATTAAGTTTCAACATGTAGACTATGGAGGAGACACATGCAGATCACAGCAAAGGGGTTTTTAAATCTTTGCTATGCCTATCACTTGCTTTAATTCTGTTGATTTTGCTTTATTTATTTTGAGTCACAATTATTAGTCTGATACACCTTCAGGATTGTTAAATATTTTTGATAAATTGAATATTTTATCATTATACAACATCCCTCTATTTTTCTACTACTTGTCTTGATAATATGGCCACTTTGAGAATAGAACTAGTCCTGCTTTTTATGGTTACAAATTCCATAGTATAGCTTTTTCTATCCCTTTACATCCAGTCTATCTGTGCCTTTATGTTTAATGTTTTATCTTCCAACCATAACATTTAATTGTGCTTTTGTTTATTCATTCTGATGATCTCTATCTTTTAGAGTGTTTAGTCAAATCATATTTAATGCAATTATCAGTATGGTTGGCTATAACTCTTGCATTTTGCTCCATGTTTTTCATTTATCTCACTTGTTTTTGGCCCCCTGTCCTTTTTCTGGCTTTCTTTTGTGTTAATTGACTATATCTTTAATTATTTCATTTTAATCTATTAGCTTTTAAAACTTCATTTGTTATAATGAATTATTCTTTTATATATTGCTGGATTCTATTTTGTTAACATTTTGTTTGGAATTTTTGCATCTACATTCTGGCTATATTAGCCTGTAATTGTCTTATAAGTGTTCTTGATGAAATTTTGTATAAAGCTGTTCACAGTATTGTGTTGTCATGAAAGATTATACACAAGGATATGTAACTGTACATTATATAACATTATATGTATATGTGTGTGTGTATATATATATGGAGAGAGAGAGAGAGATGAGGTCTCACTCTGTCACCCAGGCTGGAGTGCAGTGGCCCAATTATAGCTTACTACAAGCTCAAACTCCTGGGCTCAAGTGATACTCACACCTTGGCCTCCCTTACAGGCACATACCACCATGACCTGATAAATTATTTATTTTTATTTTTATTTTTTAGTAGAGATAAGGTGTTACTATGTTTCCCAGACTGGTCTCAAACTTTTAGGCTCAAGTGATTCTCCTACCTGGGTCTCCCAAACTGCTGAAATTACAGGCATTAGCTGCCACATCCCAGGCTGTATTTTTGTTATCTCTAAGGACTGTAGTAATTTGTATTTTCTTTTGACCAATATTAGTATATTACTGTATCTAGTTCTTTTCTTTTGGTGATTTCTGCTGTTACTATAATTTCTTGACTTCGATTTTCTTTCACTCTTAATTTTCTAGCTTCTAGAGATGAAAACAAAATTCATCTGTTTTTAGCCTTTCTTCCTTTCTAAAAGATGCATTCAAGGCTACGAACTTCCTTCAAAGAATGGCTTTAATTGGATTATGTAAACTTTAATAAGTCATTTCTTTATTACAGGTTGAGTATCCCTAATCCAAATATCTGAAATTTGAAATGCTCCAGAATCTGAAACTCTTTGAGCTCTGTCATGACACTCAAAGGATATGCTCATTGGCACATTTTGGATTTCAAATATTTGAAGTAGAGATGCTTAATCAGTATGATGTGAATATTCCAAAATTTAAAAAAAAAGAAAAAAAAATTCAAAATCCAAAGTGCTCTGGTCTCACACATTTCAGATAAGGGATACATAACCTGTATTATTTAGTTAAAAGTATTTTTCTAATTTTTGTTATTTCTTCTTTGATTTGAGTATTTAGAATATTTTTATCTTAGTAAATTGTTTCTTTCTCTAGTTATCTGTTTATTATTGAACTTAATTTTATTCCTTTGAATTCAGAAAACATTCAACACTTGTGAGATATTCTTTTGGATTAACATATGATCACTCTTGATAAAAACAGTCTATGTGCACATGAAAAGAATATGAGTTATTTTGCTGTTGAACACAAGTTTGTCAATTGTTTTTTCATATATTTTCCATCTATTGATTTTTGGTATGTTTCTAGGCTAAGCTATTGAGTTATATATTTTACAGTCTTTCATGATGATTATAGATTTGTCTTATTTTTCCTTTTCTGTAAATGTTTGGTAGTTTATTTGGTTCATAAATTTTTGGGATTACCCTAACTTTCTGTAGATATGAGCATTTTTATCACTATAAAGTACACTCCCCATTTATTCTCTAATGCTGTTTCCTACCTTAAAGCCTGCTTTATATAATATTAATATGACTATGCCAGATTTATTTTGGATAATGTTTGCATGGCTTCTTTTTCCATAATTTTACTTTAAAGCTTTCTTTTTATATATTATATTGTGTTTCTTGTAAGCAGTATTATGGTCAGAGTTTTAAATTCTTCTTTATTAATATTAATTTTTACTTGGAGTATTTAGTTCATTTACATTTTATGTAATTATATTCTCCATTTCTAGAAGTTTTTCCCCAGATGTTCCCATTTCTTTCTGACAGTCTCTTGCTGCTCTTCTCTGAAATTTCATCTTGTGTTTTGTAAACAGTGTATATATCAGCTAATTTATCTACACATATTTTTAAATCTGTCAATTTCAATATGCAGTGTCCATGAGAATTTAAGTTTCCTACCTGCTTTTGGTTGGTTTGTTTTGATTTTCTATCATTTGTAGTCTATTCCTATGCTTAATTTAACTTTATTTTGAAATCACTGTGCAATTTTATTTATGGTAGTCATGCCAGGATAAACGAGAGGAGGTCTTTTTTTCTGTAAACCTTAATGTATTCATTTTTAATGTAAATACAAAAAATCATCCCTCTTTTAAAGGATTGAAGGCTTATGAAATTAAGATGAGAAAAAAATGACCTTAAGATACTTAACATAGTGCTAGGAATATAATAAAAGCTCAATAAATGGTAGATTTCACTTTTAATTCTTAGATCAGTATGTTGATTTACTTGTTTCCTGCCTCCCTCATTAGAATATACACTCCATAAATCACACAAGCTTTGAGATTCTGACTACCACTATATTCCCTCAAAGATCAAGAGAGAGTTTGTTCTATCTAGATATTCAGTAAATACTTGTTGGATAAATAAATGGGTGCCTGTAAACAGTAATGTGTTAAATGAAGAGATTATTCCTAAGAGCCTTTCATGTCAAGGGTAGTCAACATAATCTTCTGCATTCAAGGGTGTAATAACCATGAGTATACAACAACAGCAACAGTTTTGTGATACATTTGTGAAACTTGTCATACCCAGAGTTGAACTTAAATTTTAATTAAAAATTAAATTGATCATTTAGAGTAGGTATCTACAATGGCTAAATTTGTTTTTCACTTCTACATAGTATTTTCTTTACAAATATAAATTGATTATAAATGACATAAATAATGATTTGGTATTTTAAAAGATAAAGTCAAGTATTTTGTTTCTGTTTTGCATTACATTCTATAGGTATATGTTTGGCACTCCTTCTCTACAATTCACTTTATTAAATGTAAAGTAGTCTCAGCAGGACATGTAAAATCCATGAAACACAAATTTTCATTTGCATTTTAACAAATTATAGATAGGCATTCAGTCTGAACATTCTCTAGACTAGCTACGTTTTATAGATATATTTGGAAAGGTCTTCATTGAGAAATTTCTAATTCCATCATAAGCCATTACTGGGGCAATTTCAAGTCTTTATATAACAAATGAGAAGAAAGTCATGCTTCTATCAAGCAGCCAATATATGCCTCGTTCTGCAGCAGGTAATCTAAGATAGACGTAACAGAAGCAATATTAAGAATTAGCAGATATGCTAAGTGTAGTGGAAGGCATCTTCATTTTTGTTGTAATTAGTGAGTCAGTATTTGCGGTTTTAGGGAATGGATTTATTGGACTTGTAAACTGCATTGACTGTGCCAAGAATAAGTTATCTACAATTGGCTTTATTCTCACCGGCTTATCTATTTCTAGAATTTTTCTGATATGGCTAATAATTACAGATGGATTCATACGGATATTCTCTCCAGATATATATGCTTCTGGTAACCTAATTGAATATATTAGTTACTTTTGGGTAATTAGTAATCAATCAAGTATATGGTTTGCCACCAGCCTCAGCATCTTCTATTTCCTGAAGATAGCAAATTTTTCCAACTACATATTTCTCTGGTTGAAGAGTAGAACAAATAGGGTTCTTCCCCTTCTGATGGGATTCTTACTTATTTCATGCTTACTTAATTTTGTATATATTGCGAAGATTCTTAATGATCTTAAAATGAAGAATGACACAGTCTGGCGTTTCAACATATTTAAAAATGAATACTTTATTAAGCAGATTTTGCTAAATCTGGGAGTCATTTTCTTCTTTACACTCTCCCTAATTACAAGTGTTTTGTTGATCATTTCCCTTTGGAGACACAACAGGCAGATGCAATCAAATGTGACAGGACTGAGAGACTCCATCTCTGAAGCTCATGTGAAGGCAATGAAAGTTTTAATATCTTTCATCATCCTCTTTATCTTGTATTTTATAGGCATAGCCATAGAAATATCGTATTTTACTGTGCCAGAAAACAAACTGTTGCTTATGTTTGGAATGACAACCACAGCCATCTATCCCTGGGGTCACTCATTTATCTTAATTCTAGGAAACAGCAAGCTAAAGCAAGCCTCTTTGAGGGTACTACAGCAATTGAAGTGCTGTGAGAAAAGGAAAAGCGTCAGAGCCACAGAGACACCTTGGGGAGATATGGATGTTCCATGAAAAGAATCCAGTGAATAAATCCTTGAAGATCTGTTTCACTGCACTGCATTCTTGCTTTGTTTTTTAAACTGTGTCATTAAAAATCACTGAAATCTTCCATAATTGTTTTGACTACATTTCAGGGAATCTCGTCTTTGAGGAGATTTTAATCTCACATGCAAACTCAGTGGCTTAGTCAGCTTCCCCACCCTGCAACTTCTTCCTACAAACTTCCTAGAGGAAAACCATCAGCCTGGAGACTATTCACTGTAAAAATTATAGCGGTGAGAATAAGCTCTAAAATAAGACTTCTCGTTGTGCTTTACCTGACTTTTCTGAAGCAAGGACACCTATTCTCCAAGAAAACCCAAAGAAAAAAAAAAAAGAAAGAAAGAAAATTAGATCAATCTTGACATTTAGAACATGGAAGTGAGGATAGATGGCGGTGCTTCTTTTCAGTATGCTATTTTAATTATTTAAAGGGTTATTTTTTTCATTTTTTAAAATCTAACATCCTCTTTTACTGGTGTATGTTTGATGTGTAGCAAGTAGTCAGAGTAATAGACGTAGTTCTGTGAAATATAGCTAGGGAAACAAGAGTCTAGGTGAGGGATATGGGATCAAAACACTGATGAAATAAATATACTCTTCATAATCAGTGATTTGAGATAAGGCAGATTATGAACCAATTAAAGTTGAGTAAAGATTTTTCTAGAAGCATAGATCCAAAGGCTGCAAGATTCAACGCAGTCCCTGACCAAAGGACACAAGATGAACACAGGGTAGAATCTGTGTGAAATATGAAATGTTCTGTCTTAGAGCTTCATACACACACACACACACACACACACATGCACACACACACACGTTTATATACACAAACTTGCAGTCACAGGCATGTTTCAAATTTTGGGTTTTAAAGTGAAATTTTATGTCCAACTCAGGTTATAAACTCAGTGACTTATTTTGGCAACTTCCAAAAGTGCCTTGATCTCATACTTATGGCCTAATAAGTGAAATATTTCCAAATATAAGAACTTAATTCATTTTCTATGTCAGGTTTCCAAATCAGTATTTTTATATTTTTAAACTATTGTGTTTAGAATGTACAGATAAAGAGATAACAGAAAAAAGAAAACCTAATGCTGCTGCCTATTTCAACCAAATATATTGGCTTATTGGAAATTATACTGTAAAAAGAACTATGTTCTCCATATAGATTATGTTGATAATGTGGAATTTATTCATTTTCCCATGTTTTCAAAAATTACTTATACTAATCATTTTAAGGGGTACATAACTCCCCTTGCAAATATACAATAATATACTTAATGTTTATCATATCGTTTGCATTTAAATTGTCTTCACTTTTCCACTGTTAGAAATAAACATAATATGAGTATTATAGAGCATGAATACTATTCATTCATATGAATACTATTTGAATGCTAACTTGGCTAGGTATTGAGGACAGAGTAGTGAACAAGACATCAATATAATGGAAAATATATTCTAATGGAAAACAAATGAATAGCTAGCTAACTTAAACAATTACATTTATGATATTGGGAGAGAAAAACTATAGGATGTTGACCTGACCTGGTCATGGGAATGGACAAGATGTCACTGAAGTTAATGGTTTAATTTGATATCTAAATAATGTGTAGGAGTAAGGTGGACAAAGGAGGAGAAATTTGGGGTGGGAAAGTATCATGTCGAGGTCTTGAAGCAAGAAGGAGTAGAGGGTATTCCAGAAACTAAAGGTCCAGTATGACTAGTATATAGACAGAGTAATATGTAAATTATTTTTAAGGAAAATTCCAATGGGGAGAAATTTGACAAATTCCTTGCAGAACTGATAAATTGCTCTGTAGAAGTAGTAAACCTATATGTTAATAGTGAAAAAATATACATCTTATTCCAGTCTCGAAATCAAGCAGGTTATTATTTTTAATGTCATTACCTTGATTGCAAAAATATCTTTACTTCACATATATTTGATTACTAGTGCAGTTAAGCATTATTACAGGATTAACCAATAGCATATACACTTTGGGAATTGTTCATTGTTTTTTCCTTATTTGTTCATGTCATAGTTTTTCTTACCAATTTTGTGACTACTTTATACATTAACACTATGCCATATATGTGTTATGATTTTTTCTTAATTTGCTATTTAGTGAGTAATTTAGTTTGTAATGTTTGGGGAAATAAGTGGATAATTTACATGATCTCATATTGATTTATGGTTTCTTCTGCTATTTTTGCCGATTTTAACTTATTTTTACTGATACCTGTTCATCAAAAGCTCCATTTTCTACTATAAAACACAGTTTTATTGCATCTAAAATTAGCAAACACAAAAATATATAAAGAAGAAATTGATTATGCACATTTGCAGTACTCAACTAACCATTGTTAACATATTTCTACATATATTGTAAAATAGATCTCAACATAGATAGATGACAGATAATAAGCATGTTACTTTAAAAATCTGTTTTGATTAGATTTATATATAAACTGGATGGCGAGGTTATCTGTGGATATTGGGATTATAGATAATTTTAATTTTCTTGTAGTATTACGTAATTTTCTATGTAATAATTTATGTCATATGAAAAATACAATTAAATAAAAGATGAGGCACGTGAAAAAATATCTGTTTAGTAATACTTGCTTTGAGAAACAAGGGAAAGAAAAAGAATCTTCCCTAGCATTTGCACAGACTGCATAAGCTCTAATTCTGATATCTGCTGCGTTTTTAGCTCTGATGACTAACTTTGTTGTTTGTACTAACTTTTGATTATATTGGCTTGTTCCTCACATGTTTTATGATTTTATTTTGAACTCAGTTTTATTAGAATATTGTCTGTGGGAATTCTTTGAGGTCAGGTTTACAGTGACATCTGCCAGAAAGAGTTTAACTTTGTGAAGGCTGACTGGGGTCACTTGTAGTCTCAACTTCCTTAAGCTAAACTTTTCAGTTTGCAATGATTTAGGCTATATAGAATTTAACTTCTAGCCCCAAGTATACACGAGTGAAAGGTTATTGTTATAAATTCTTAGAGCAACATTCCTCTTTCATTCCCCTTTACATTTCCCTTTCAATTAACTACCCTGGCTGCCTGTTTAGTACTCCTACTTTAGCCTTTTGCTGGACATATATTATTTTCTCATTTGTCTATTAAGGTTTTGCATTTCAGGGGTCTTGGCTTATAGATAGTATCCAATCTCACTTCTAACTTTGGAGAAGTCCAAGTCAGGTATCTTATCCAACATGCATATGATCTTTTAAAACATAAGCACTGGTTTATGAATGGATGAAGAAAATGCTGTATACATACACAATGGAACACTATTTATCCATAACAGTTTAAAAAAAAGAATGAAGTGCCATTTGCAATGACATGGATGGAAAGGGAAGACACTATGGTACATGAATTAAGCCAGAAACAAAAAGTTAAGCACCACACATTCTCGCTCATATAAGAAAACTAAAAAAAGAAGATCTCATAGAAGTAAAAAGAAGAGCAGAGTATACCAGAGGCTGGGAAGGACAGGGGTTTGTAAAAGTATACAAAATTCAGCTAGATAGGAGGAATAAGTTCTAGTGTTTTATAGGACTATACGATGACTATAGCTAACAATAATACATAGTTTTAAATATCAGGAAGGAGGATTTCAATATTCCCAATAAAGAAATGATAAATGTTTGAGATGATAGATCTTCTAATTAACCTACCGAATCACTATACATTGTATGTTTCAAAACATCACTATGTACCTGATAAATGTGTACAGTTATTATTACATAAGATAGGAAAATAGCCTATTGCATAGAAAGAGTGATGCCATCCTGAAGCAAAACTACCACAGCCACTGATGTTTATCTCCTGCATACCAATGTGTTCTGCAGCAAGCTCTTTAAACAATTCCTGTGACATAGACAACCCCTCATAAAGAGCTAACCTTCTTAGTGGTCATAAGTTTTAGCAAGAGAGTCTGAGGTATGAGTAGCTGCACATGTTTTACCCAAAAAGCTTAATATATAAAGGATATTTTCTGGAGGGCGGGTGTGGGGATCCAGTATCTTGCGGCCACCCAAGACATTGCCTCTGTTTATAAGTTCCTATTAAATATTTATTTCTTTTAAAGAAGATAACATATGTTTATGTATAAGATATATATATAGAGAGATGTATAAGATATATATATCTTTTGCAGCAACTTGGATAGACCTGGAGATCATTATTCTAAGCGAAGTAACACAGGACTGGAAAACCAAAAACTGCATGTTCTCAGTTGTAAGTGGGAGCTAAGCTATGAGTGTGCAAAGAAATACAGAGTGATATCGTGATCTTTACAGACTCAAAAGGGGGAGGTCGGAAGGGAGGATAGGGATAAAAAAAGCTACATATTAGGTACAATTTACACTACTCAGGTGATGGGTATACTAAAATCTCAGAATTCACCACTATATAACTCATCCATGTAACAAAAAAATACTTATACCCAAAAAGTGGTTGGAGTAAAAATTATAAATAAGTAAATAAACAAATAAACATTTCTTTCTGAGAAACTGGATTTGTTAGCCTCTTTCTTTGGCCTCTCAGCTCTGTCAGCCTTTAGGGATAGTTTTGCATATACCTTTTCACCGCAGAACATCAATTTAAAAAAATAACAAAATAAAAAAATACTTAAACACCGGTTTAAAGGAGAGTGACAATGCCCTCTGATAGATAACCTCCTCTAACTCCAAGATAGATAGTTAGGGACTAACTCTATCTTCAGCACTGTTTCCTCTCATGATTTGCACTTTCCCACTATTTTTGGCATCTGAGGATTCTTTTTTAACTCTCTTGACAGCTGGACCATGCACTTTAAAAATAATTCTGAAGGCTTCTTTTTCAGTATCTTTATCTTTTCTGGACTGGAAGGACTTTTCCAGACGTCTGGGTTTTCATATATTTTTATGCAGCTTTTTTTAATTTATAAAAATAATTTTAACTTCTATTTTAGATAAGGGGGTACAGGTGCAGGTTTGTTAGCAGATTATATTCCTTGGTGCTGAGGTTTGGAGTATAATTGAACCCATCACCCACGTAGTGAGCATGGTACTCAACAGCTAGTTTGACAGTCCTTACCCCCTAATCCCTGCCATCTCTCCCTCTCCACTTAGTCCTCAGTGTCTATTGTTGCCATTTTTACGTTTGTGTGTCCCAATGTTTGGCTCCCACTTAGAAGCAAGAGCATGTGATAGTTGGTTTTCTGTTTCTGCGTTAATTTGCTTAGGATGACAGTTTGTCATATTTTTGAAGGCAAAAGTTGTTTGTTTCACTAGCTTTCTTTTTTTTTTCAGTAAAAGTATTCAAAATTGTATGTTTTCTGCCCAAATATCAACTTACATGTATTCCACAAATGTTGACACATGGTTCTTATATTGTATTCAACTCAAAGAATTTCAAAATATTCTTTACACTTTCATTTTAATGCAAGAGATATTTAACAATAATGAGATTTTTAAAGGTAACTTTTGTATTGATATCTTATTTTATTTAAGTTGGGTCAGACAGCATATGTGTATGATATTTGGCCTAGGATGAGATTTATTTGGCCCAACGTATGATCCATTTTTGTGACTGATTTTCTTTAAATGAGTTTGATGGTGTTAAATGTATATACATTAGGTGAACATTAATGATATTACTAGTTTACATCTTTAATATATGAAAATTTCCAATAGTTAAATTAGTAAACCTACACTTACAATTACTGATTTATTTGTTTATGCTCATAATTGTTTTATTTGTAGTTGCATTTAATTTGAAGCAATGTTGATAATTGCATTTTTATTCAGGGTCATTACTTTCTTATGGTTTTTACTAATATTAAAAACCCTTATCATGAAAGTTTTTGCTTTAAATTTTATTTTGCCCTTGGTAAATTCCCTAATTTTGTTACATTTTATTTTATTTTGATACATAATATTTGTTCAACATTGTAAGGTATATGTGATATTTTGTTTCATGTATATAATGTGTAATAAAAGTCAAGATATTTAGGATCCATCACTTCAAGCATTTATCATTTCTAGATCATGTGTTTTCCACCTCTGCATTTTCAACACTTCTGCTTTTTATTTTTTAAATGTCTCTTGTAGAAAACAAATATCTCATTTTTGACACTTTAATAATGTAATCTCAAAATTATTGAGAAACATTTTTACACTTAATGTAATCGTGATTATATTGTTTTCTACCTTCTCATTTCTTCTTTTTACTCTATTTTAATGCTTTCTTTTAGATTTTTTTTCCTTTCCTGTTTTCTATTGATATCAAATTTTCATGTGCTGGGTTTTAAATTGATACCTTTATCTTCATTTCATATAAAATTAAGTTTAATTCATTCTTATTCTCCTAATAGCCATTTCCATGCTGCATGTTTTTATGGTCTGGAATATTAATTTTTTTAATTTACACATTTATTTTGTTTTACTGTGATAAAATTTATATAACAAATTTGTCATCTTCACCATTTTAAGTATAATTTTGTGGCACTGATTACATTCACAATGTTGTGCAAGCATCACCACTGTGTCCAAAACTTTTACATTACCACAAATAGAAATTTTGGATTCATTAGGCAGTAACTCCCTATTTTTCCTTTCCCACAGTTCCTGGTGACCTCTGATCTGCTTTTTGGCTTTATGAATTGGCCTAGTCTAGATAATTCATATGAATAGAATCACACAGGTTTTCTCATTTTGTATCTGGTTTGGTGTACTAAGAAAGTTTTCAAGGCTCACCAGTATCTTAACATGTATTTCTGACCATCATTCTTTTGTGTGACTGAATAATATTTTATTGTGTGTATGCACCATAATTTGTTTAGGTATTCATCAGTTGAAAAACACTTGGGTGATTTCTACCTTTTGGCTGTTGTGAATTATGCTGCAATATATGGTGGCACATAAGTATCTATTTGAGTTACTGTTTTCAATATATACTAGGAGTGAAATTACTAGGTAATATGGCAATTCCTATGCTTAGCTTCTTGTGGAGGCACTGAACTGTTTTCCACAGTAGTTTTATCATTGTACATTTCCACCAAGAATGTACGAGAGTTCCACACTTTCCACATCCTTGCCCACCCTTGTTATTTTCCAGGATTTTTACTATAGCCATTCTAGTGGATGTGAAGTAATACGTGACTGCGGTTTTGGTTTGCACTTCCCCAATGACTAATGATGCTTAGCATCTTTTTATGTGCTTATTAGACATTTATAAATCTTTTGCCCAATTTAAAATTGGATTTTTTGTTGGGTTGTAGAGATTCTTTACATATTCTGACTGTTAAAGTCACCGCAGCTATATGATCTGCAAATATTTTCCCCCAGTCTATAGATTGTCTTTTCACTTTCTTGGAGAGGCTTGTGATAAACAAAAGTTTTATTTTGCGTGAAATCCAATTTGAGTATTTTTTTTGTGGCTTACTTTTTTCATGTCATATGTAAGAATCCATTGCCAAATCCAAGGTCATAAAGATTACCATTAGATTTTCTTCTAGGTGTATTTAGTTTTAGTTGTTATATTTAGGTAATTGATCCATATTGAGCTAAGTTTTGTATATGTTGTGAGTTTGGGGTCCAACTCCATTCTCTTGCATGTGGATATCCAATTGTCATAGCGTCACTTGTCAAAAAGACTATGCCCTAAAGAATTTTTACACACTTGTCAAAAATCAATTAATCATAGATACATGGGTTTACTTCAAAACTCTGGATTCTATTACATTGGTCTATATGTCTATCCTTATGCCAATAAAACAGTCTTGATTATTGTAGCTTTGTAGTAAGTTTTATACTTGACTTTAGCCGAAAAGTTGAGAAGTAACGTAGTGAATTTTAAAAATATTAAGTGCGAGCCTTCCAACTTTATTCTCCATTTTTAAGATTGCTTTGGAAATTCAAGGTTTCTTGTAATTCCATATGGATTTGAGGATAAATTTTTCTGTTTCTGAAACACAGTCTGTGAGAATTTTTAATAAGGATTTGAATGAATCTGTACATTTCTTTGGTATCTCCCCTTTGTGTCTATGGAGTAAAAGCAGATGAAAAACTAAGAGTATCTGACCTTAGGGGCCCAAGTGTCATATCTGAGGACAGGATGTAGTGAGGGGTCTTGCAAGGAGAAGAGGCATAGTACTTCCCACTTGCCCTAAAGGACATAGAATTCCATGATGCCACTTTTTCCTGCCTCTGGGCCCCTGTAGTCTTAGAGCCAGAGCCCACAGAGCTGGGGGTGGTGGCAGTGGGGCAGATCTGGATGCAGCCCAAGGTGCAGCCAGGAATGATTATGACTCCTAGAGAAACTCCTAGGGTGGGGAACAGGATATGTCAAGGTGCAAAATTTCTCAGCATGTCATTAAAGGTTTTTGGTTGCAACAGAAATGAATGTAAGCAGTAAAGGAGGAAGGAGCTTTATAGTTAGGATGTTGAGCCATCTGTCCTAAAGTTAAGAGTTGAGTCCAATCATCTTTAGAAAGAGTCAGGACTCAGTCATGACTGAGATAGCCCCAAGGACCTCAGATATGGGAAGGAGTGGGTATTCTTTCTAGCTTATGCAGCCAATGTGACTCAGTTTCCACAACTCCCATTCTCTGTGTTTCCAAGGTCAAAATTCCGAGTTCTTCACAGAGATTTATTCATTCATTTGTTCATTAAATATGCATGGAGCCCCTACTGTGTAGTAGGCAGAATTCTAGACACTAAAGATACAGCACTGATCCAAGGAGACAAAAATACCTATTTTACATCTTACATTGCAGTGGGCACAGAATAAGATTGGCTTAACTTGGGTTAGGTATCCACCCCTAATTCAATCAGCTGTGGCCAGATAGAGTTCATGAGCCAAGAGACTTCTCCCAATGGGTTCTACTACAATGAACAATCGTTCTTTAAGACACACATGGACTCTTGATTATCAGTTCAGAAAGCAGACAGTGGGTTTTAAAATAACAAGGCATAGTTGAGTGCATTCAGTCACCTTGACAGCAACCATTTTCTCTAGGAGGCTGGATGTTCTTAAGCAGCAGCCTGTCCATCTTGCATCCCCCAGGTTCTCCGGATTCTCCACTTCCAAAGGAGCAGGACTGGAACGCCCTTCCGTATCATCAACTTTCTCCTCGCACCAGACCTTACTCACCAGGGCCTGGGACTGTGGGTTAGACTTCTCCCTCTTTTGCTATCTTCAGCTCCTGATCTGGCTAGAATCTTCTGTGAACAGGGACAAGGCTTGCTTCTTCTGGTATCTGCCATGGCAGAAGCCAGCCCAGGGCTCAGGGAAGCCTTAACGAGGCCTGCAGAGGGGGAAAAAAAAAAATTATATACATATATATATATAAAAAATAAAAAATTAAGTGTGAGTTTTCTAACTTTGTTCTCCTTTTTTAAAGATTGTTCTGGGTATTTGGGTTCCCTTGTAATTTCACCCGAATTTGAGAATTAGTTTTCCTCTTTCTGAAAAAAAGGTCTGTAGAAATTTTTGAGAGAAATTTTAATAATCTTTAGATTGCTCTGAGTATTATTGATATCTTAACCATATCAAGTCATCTTGTCCATGAACAAGGAATGTCTTTCTACTTACTTGTGTCTTCCTTAATGTCTTTCAGCAATGTTTCATCATTTTTTGTATATAAGTATTTTGCTTCTTTGGTTAAATTTATTCCTAGTTATTTCATTATTTTGGAATTGTTTTCTTAATTTACTTTTTATATTCACTGTTCAGATGCCTGGTGTGTAGAAACACTAAAGAGTTTCACATGTGTTGATCTTGTACCTACAACTGGAGTTTTAAGATTTCTATAGTATACAGATGTTCTTTTCTTAATTTTTTTAAATTTTTGACATCGTAAGCCTTACAAAATTTCTTATAAATTTTACTCCACACATGTCATGTAAGTATCTCCTCATCCCATTATAGTTTTTTGTTAATATATCCTCCAAAATGTTGAAAGAAGTTCTGTTTAGTAAACATCTGAAACCTACATATCTGAGAATATTTTTACTTAACCTGAACATTTAGATGTGTTGTCAAATATAAATATCTTATTGTGTTTAAGTTGAAATACTGTTAAAATCATTTTATTTATGCCATTGCAGACAGAAACAAAATAGTCACCTGTCCCTCAATATTATGAGATGCACTGGACATTAATATTGAATAAAAAAAAGAACTACATGTGAAGGAGAAAAACAACTAAGTCTATTTAAGTTTGTTTTCATTTTCAGTGAGTAATAGAAAATAAATTGTTAAACTATAATTATTATGTTGCCATATTTTATGATTTCATGTGATTGGCATTGTCTTAGTCCATTTTGCTGCTATAAAAAAAATCTGAGATGAGGTAACTTATAAATAACAGAAATTTATTTTATCATAGTGCTGAAGGCTAGAAAGTCCAAGACTAAGGCATTGGCAGGTTTGGTGTCTGGTGAAGGCCTTGTCACTGCTTCCAGCATGGAACCTTGAATGTTGTATCTTTTCGTAACAGAAGGGGGGAAAGGTTAAAAGGCCTCTTTAGTTCCCTTCAGGCCTTTAAATCCCATCATGATGACAAACTCATCATAATCGTCTCCCAAAAGGTCCCACTTCTTAATATTGTTGCATTAGGGATTACATTTCCACATGAATTTTGAAGAGAATACAAATATTCAAACTATGGAAATCATAAAATGTGAAATTTGGCCAAATATTCTGGATAGGAAATTGTAATTAAGACTATAAAGGCTCTATAGCAAAACAACTAGATAAGAGAATCATGATTTATTGAATGGAATGCCAAAAAATTCAATAATAATAGTACCTACAATGTTTTGAGTGTATATGATAAGAACTATTCTAAGTATTTTAAATGCAAGACTTTAAGTATAATATTTCTGTGAGATCAATAGTACTATGATCAATGTTTTACACATTGGAGAAAGAAAAGATTCGGCACAATCTAAATCACACAACTAATAAAACTGAGAATGAGCTTCAACTCCAGCTGTCTGGCACCGAAGCTGAAGCTCTTAACTGTTATATATATTTCAAGCTTTGTCCAAACTTTGTTATTTAGCAAATAAATTATTTGTCTTCATGGATCCCAAATATCCTATTTCTTTGCCATTTTTATTCAAACAGACAAGACTATTCCCAATATGCTACAAAGTGTTTTATGCTTGAATTATTGAATTTATATAGTTCTCTATTAAGACTGTCCTCTTCTTAAAGAAACATGCATATTTCTCATTCAAGGCATCCGTTCCCAACATGGGTCTTTATATTGCCCTGTTTTCATGAGGTTCACATGTACCCCCATACATCTGTACAACTATTATGTGTCCATAATAATTAAATTTTTAAAAATTAAAAATACAACAAACAAGATTACTGAATGAATTTTTTTTAAATAGAAGATTATTTCATCCAACAAAAAGATAGGGGAACTTTAACAAAAGGAGTGGTGGTAAAATTTAGTATAGTTAACTAATTTAATTTCAGGTAGAAAGCAAAACTCAAGGAAGGAAGACTGGCTTATGATTGTGACAAGGAAAGGTAATGTTTTGTATAGAGTGATGACAGGAGATAACGAACTGCTGTATGTCTTATGAGGGATTAGAGGGAGAATAGTCTGGCCAGGCACGGTGGCTCACACTTGTAATCTCAACACTTTGGGAGGCCAAGGCAGGAGGATCGCTACAGGCCAGGGGTTCAAGACCAACCTAAGCAATAAAGTGAAACTTTGCCTCAAAAAAAAAAAAAAAAAAAAAAGGAAACAGAATAATTTGGAAGTTACAAGAGAGGGAAAGAAAAACACCCACCCACCCCAGCTTTAGACCCACTTCTATGAGGGTCTGAGAGAAAACAGCTGCCACAGGATTTAACTGTAGAGTATTAAAATAAAAAGATCCACGGACATGAGTGATGAATAAACTGGGAGGGGCACCAAATTATATACTTATTTTTATTAATCCTTAGCTTCAATCTAGTATTTCTTATGTCTTGAATGTAAGTAACAAGCACATACCAGCAGTATCTGTAATTTTTTTACTTCGGGAAGTCAAAAATCTTTGTTGTTACAGGTGCCACCTATTATCATTTACTTTCATCACTGGTCTTTCTGCCAGATATTTTTGTTATGTCAATTAAAAAGCACATAAATTCCTATATTATATTAAAAATATATTTCATACTGTAGGAAAAAGTCATATATATATACGGATTCCTTATAAATTTCAAATATTTTTATTTCATGCATTTAAAAACTTTATTCTGAAATTATAGCATGTGCCAGACTGGAAAAGGAGTCCATTGAATAAAAAAGTTCCAGAACCTCGAGTTCAAATGAAGAAGATAAAGTGAACTGTTAGAGAAATGAATGAGAATATAAGACTTCTGCTAATGGTTTACTAGGGATCCCAATGGATACAGTGAAGAGTTTAGAATGGGGTGGGAGTTAAAGTCAACAACTATTCAAAATATAAGTTGTCAGAAAATAGGACAGTACAGCAGTATTCTGTTCTTGATTTATAAATATGAAGAGTATAGTCATTTCCCTTGATCAGTAATAACCAGTGGAGTAATTCGAGGACAAATGCCTGTAAAAGATGTAAGGTTCTAAAGAATGGTAAACAGTATTTCAACAAAGGAAAGAAAATGAAATTTAAGAAACATCTGCCTAAGTAGGTTTGTGTTTGCTCACTTCTCATGGAAAGACATACAGAAAATGATGTCATAAGTTTCCCAGTATTTCATTTGTTTTCTAGTGGAGACAGAAATAATCAATAAACTAACATTCTAGATTAAAGTGTTTCTGCAATGGAAAGACATGTTAAAGTCTGTCAGCTAGGATCGCTCTTTAACTTCTCAATGCTAAGATTAAATCCAAAAGGCAAACAACACATAAACACACACACACAGACACACACACACACACATTCAATGGTGTCAAATAAATTGAGATCATTTGGGTTTAATTTATAGCAAGAAAAGATAAAAGGGTGGCATTTTAGTAAGTATGGGCCCTTAGGTAACTCTGGTCATATACTATAGCATATTTGCATTTACATTTGAATATAGGCATAATAACTTCCTTAAATTGATCAGTATTCCACACAGCTAAAGAAAAGAAGGGATGCAGGGGAAAAGACCATGACTCAGAAGGCAAACTTGGATTCTATATCTGGGTTTACCAAGAAATTTTAAAATGTCAGTTATTAATCACCCACCTACACGATATATTTTCATCTTCATCTTTTCTGGACATTATAAATTGATCCCAGAGTACTTCCATTTCCAAATAATAACCTTCAACCCATTTTATTCCCCTCCTCAAAATTTTATCATTCCAAAAGTTTAATCAAAATAATGAAATACTGCATTCCCTGAGATGTAAACATGGTGCAACCTTGTCTGTCAGTTGGATGCGAATCAATTTCTTTAGTGAAGTCCTTCTCAGAATATTACCGCTTTCATGGCTTTGGTCATGATAAGCACAGTGCATATTTTTGAGTTGTGTAATCTGATATTTCTTCAGAAACAAAATTCACAGAGAGGCATGAAAGAAACCCCAAATTTCACTTAATAGAGTAACAATAGCCATTTATTTTCTCATAAAAATCTGCAAGATTAATTTTTATCTCTTTATTTTGTCTAAAACCCTGAACATACGACACATTATCTCATTAAATTTGTATTGTTTGTGTTCGTTTTGTAAGCAATATTACTAATGCCTTAAAATTTAATATTGTTTCAAAATAAAATTTCTGGAAACTGTGTATTGCTGTGTGCCTTTTTTCTACTATTTCAAATATGTTCTATTACGTCCAATGACATGTTTCCAGTATGTCCCAATAAACACACTGTGTGTTTCCAATGTGTACATAATTAACATACTAATATTCATAATACATCTGTTGCCAAAAAATAGAGCTAAGAAAATTCAGAGCATGTATTCTTATTATTTCAGTTCAGATTGAAGAGTCCTTACATCTCTCTCAGGCTTTTTAGTTTCTTGCTTTGTCCTCCTCACAGCTTCAGACTGATCTGTTTCAATTCTAAAGATAACGTGACCAGTATTTTGACTATTTTTTCTATGTACGGAAGCTACATTCGGTACAAGCAAGAACACTCTAAGAAACCCTAACATCAGGGCCGGGCGCGGGTGGCTCAAGCCTGTAATCCCAGCATTTGGGAGGCCAAGACGGGCGGTCACGAGGTCAGGAGATGGAGATCATCCTGCTAACACGGGTGAAACCCGTCTCTACTCTACAAAAAATACAAAAAACTAGGCGGGCAAGGTGGCGGCATCTGTAGTTCCAGCCACTCGGGAGGCTGAGGCAGGAGAATGGCCTACACCCGGGAGGCGGAGCTTGCAGTGAGCTGAGATCGGCCCACTGCACTCCAGCCTGGGCGACAGAGCAAGACTCCGTCTCAAAAAAAAAAAAAAAAAAGAAACCCTAACATCTAAACCAGATTTTCTGTGTCCCGTTTACTGACAACTTACAATTCATGTTTATTTCGCCTCGTTGTACCTTCTGTTGAGAAGACACACTGCAACAGCTTTTTGAGGATACTGGGAATTACCTTAATTATTTCTCAATGCCCTAGTGAATGGAGTGTCGTTTTTGACCCTCTTAAGTCATGTAATGGGGAAAGGTGAAGTCTTAAAATTCTAGCCGTATTTTCCAAGCAATTGATACCTCTTGAAGTTCCTGGTCAACAGCTCTGATTGATAAATCCAAAATATACAGAGCTTAAAATAAGAAAGATTGTGCAAATTTAAGAAACCAGATCCATTCCCATTTGCATCCCAGAGCCCTTCTGTCATCACTGCACCACACCAAAGGAAATTACTGGCCCCAATCATTGAAGTCTGTAGGCAGCTCTAGCCCAGAGCAGGACTGGCTATCTTCTTCATCCGCCGACAAAAAGGAGAGAGAAAGACAATTATATCACGGTCTAAGTGGTATACCGAGACATTGTTCTTCACTGGTCAGCTGAAAGTCAATTCATCATCAGTGATATTCAAAATCAGAAGTCTCTGCTGGTATGCCAAGTACAATAGAGGCAATATATATTATTTTAATTGCTGGTGAACTGACCATAGGGATTTGGGGAAATGGATTCATTGTACTAGTTAACTGTATTGACTGGCTCAAAAGAAGAGATGTTTCCTTGATTGACATCATCCTGATCAGCTTGGCCATCTCCAGAATCTGTTTGCTATGTGTAATATCATTAGATGGCTTCTTTATACTGGTCTTTCCAGGTACATATGACACTAAAGTGCTAGAAAGCATTATGGATGCTCTCTGGACATTTGCCAATAATTCAAGTCTCTGGTTTACTTCTTGCCTCAGTATCTTCTATTTACTCAAGATAGCCAATATATCCCACCCATTTTTCTTCTGGCTGAAGCTAAAGATCAACAAGGTCATCCTTGCGATTCTTCTGGGGTCCTTTCTTATCTCCTTAATTATTAGCTTTCCAATTAATGGTATGTGGTCTCACCTTTTCAAGGTCAGTCATGAAGAAAACATTACGTGGGCATTCAAAGTGAGTACAATTCCAGGTGCTTTCAAACAGTTAACCCTGAACCTGGGGGCGATGGTTCCCTTTATCCTTTGCCTGATCTCATTTTTCTTGTTACTTTTCTCCTTAGTTAGACACACCAAGCAGATTCAACTGCATGCTACAGGGTTCAGAGACCCCAGCACAGAGGCCCACATGAGGGCCATAAAGGCAGTGATCATCTTTCTGCTCCTCCTCATTCTGTACTACCCGGTCTTTCTTGTCATGACCTCTAGCACTCTGATTCCCCAGGGAAAATTAGTGTTGATGATTGGTGACATAGTAACTGTCATTTTCCCATCAAGCCATTCATTCATTCTAATCATGGGAAACAGCAAGTTGAGGGCAGCTTTTCTGAAGATGTTAAGATTTGTGAAGGGTTTCCTTAGGAGAAGAAAGCCTTTTGTTCCATAGAGTCCCCTAAAAACCCCGTAAAGCCTGACTACAAGGAGAAAGAAATCAACAACAGGCATTCTCTCTTCTGTTTGCATTCATTTTCTCTTATATGCTATTGGAAGTCATTAATGTCTATCATGATTCTGAAGATTTGTTTTGTGTTCCTTCACATTTTTGTCTTAATTGGTAATCTAATGTTATCATTGCACCACCTATTCCTTGTCATTGCAGAAAAAATGACTCTAAATCCCACACTAACATTTCATCATTTCATGTCATTGACTAAATGCAAAGAGGTTCTACTTATTTTCTGACAAAGGCCTTGAATTCAATGAGTAGAAGAATTTCAGGCAAATGGGCTTTGGGAAAAAGATTTTAGAACTCATCAACCCTTTCTATAAAATCAATCATGCAAAACAACTCTCTACTTTGAAATGAAGACTGGTCCTTATCTTCACTGCCCTATCCCCTCCATTTCTGGAAGAGTTTGTCTTGATCAAGAAGGGAGAAAAACAGTCTTTAATGAGGTTCTGTGTAGGACAATATATGATGTGGGAAAAGGAGTATGATCTCAAGAATGAAGATTTGACCAGGAAAGGAGGCACAGTTATGTATAGCAGAACCACCTTGAGAAAGAAGGTTGAGGGTGCCAGTAGTCAGCTTGTTCATAAGTACTGTAGCTGGTGATGGCAATCTTAGAAGTCAGTTCCCAAATAGTTTTTGGAATGTTCTCTCTAGCCTTCTAACTCAGAAATCTCTGACATGTTCTTTTCCCTCTGCATCATTTTATTTTCTATTTTGTTTCCAGCAATATTTTATGGATAACTAGGTTTCTTTAAGTTATTAAGTTTATGCTTTCCTGTTACACATTACACACGTGTAAGAAATAGAAAAATCCTGCATGTGTTGCACACATTGTAGAGCTATTTAAATACAAGAAGATCCCTAGTGTATTGTGATTTTTTATTACCTACATTTAAATGTATTTGGGGCTAAGTTGTACTCTCCCTCACCCCAAAACAAAAAAATTCAATTTAATAGTAGAATTAGTCCTATTCTTTGGAAATACTGGCAGGTAAAAAAATTATTATTATTATTATTATTATTATTATTTAGAGACGGAGTCTCACTGTATCACCCAGGCTGGAGTGCAGTGGCGCCATCTCGGCTCACTGCAACCTCTACCTCCGCGTTCAAGTGATCGCCCTGCCTCAGTCTGCCGAGTAGTTACTTTTTTATGTGTTTGCCCTATCTAGAAATATGACTATAATATAAACTGTGAGATTACAAATCTTGTAAAAGGAGTTGATTGGAACTAGAATAATGTAAAACTTAAAATTTCCCTAATTTTAGATTACAATGCTTATTATGTAAGAGACAATGTTTCAGGAAGTGAATTGTCTTCAAGGGTATTTCTCACATTAAAGAAAATAAAGATAACAAATCTTTACCTGGCATATTTCACTTCTAAGGAACAACTGAAAAGAAAGCAAATTCTTCATAAATATTGCCATGTGCTTGCCTAAAATAAATGTCATTTATAATTAGATTTGTATCATATCCTTCCCTAATTAGCCATTTAAATGAAGACAAGAATTATTATCCTCTGACTAAATGTTATCTACAATCTAATTGTACTAATTACTTCCAAAGTGAAAATTTGTTTGCATCTGGGAGAACTGATTTGTGGCTTATTTATTACTTACATAATGAAAATGAAGTTTTCATTACACAGTTGGATTTTTATCAAACATTTATCTCTTTTTTTGTGACTCCTTATTCAAAACTCAGTTTGAAGGTCCAAATATAGAGCTGCAGCAAGAAGCCTGTTGCAAATTCGTGATATAAAATCTCTTTGAATTTGCATGAGAGCAATTTCAGCCAAGCATGTCAGTTATCACTCACTAAAGGGTAACAATTATAATTTTTCCAGGCTATAAGTAGTCAAGCTGCTCATTTGGAGCAATTAGTTGGTTTCTTCTTCAGGAATGTAGAGACAATCCTATTTCAGGGGAGAGCTGAACACTTCTGGAATGATAACAAAGTCAAAATAATAGCAGATGAATACATTATTGCATGATTCGAAGAATTTATTTATCATGCTTCAACAGGTCACCTGTAAATTAGCTCATCTACGGTGATATTTGACATCAGATTGTTCTCTCTACAAACATGTTCAGTCCTGCAGATAACATCTTTATAATCCTAATAACTGGAGAATTCATAATAGGAATATTGGGGAATGGATACATTGGACTAGTCAACTGGATTGACTGGATTAAGAAGAAAAAGATCTCCACAATTGACTGCATCCTCACCAATTTAGTTATCTCCAGAATTTGTTTGATCAGTGTAATGGTTATAAATGGCATTGTAATAGTACTTTACCCGGACGTTTATACAAAAAGTAAACTACAGATAGTCATTTGTACCTTCTGGACATTTGCCAACTACTTAAATATGTGGTTTACTGCCTGCCTTAATGTCTTCTATTCTCTCAAGGTAGCCAATTCCTCTCACCCACTTTTTCTCTGGCTGAAGCGGAAAATTGATATGGTGGTTCGCTGGATCCTGCTGGGATGTTTTGCCATTTCCTTGTTAGTCAGTCTTATAATAGCAACAGTACTGAGTCATGATTATAGGTTTCATGCAATTGCCAAACATAAAAGAAACGTTACTGAGATGTTCCATGTGAGTAAAATGCCATATTTTGAACCCTTGACTCTCTTTAACTTGCTTGCAATTGTCCCATTTATTGTGTCATTGATGTCATTTTTCCTTTTAGTAAGATCTTTATGGAGACATACCAAGCAAATAAAACTCTATGCTACTGGCGGTAGAGACCCAAGCACAGAAGCTCATGTGAGAGCCATTAAAACTATGACTTTGCTTATCTTCTTTTTTTTCCTATACTATATTACTTCTCTTTTGGTGAACTTTAGCTATCTTTTTACAAACTACAAGTTAGCTATGGCGTTTGGAGAGATTGTAGCAATTCTCTATCCCTCGGGTCACTCACTTATTTTAATTATTTTAAATAACAAACTGAGACAGGCATCTGTCAGAATGCTGACGTGTAGAAAAATTGCCTGCGTGATAGGAAATCTTAGTCGTATAAATAGAATTTAAAATCAAATATTCACTAACAAAAAATATAATTTTCTTATAAGTCTATTCTCATTTTCCCTAGTTATCTCATTTATTTTAGATGCGTATCTTTAAGTATTATCAGGATCTAGTAGCAAACTAATGAACACATCGTTTGTATCTCTTTACAACCCAGAAATGCTCGTCTTTACACTCCTTTTCCTCGAAGAATTTCAGAGCTCATGGTTCTCTTCTTATCTCCTCACTGCAAATGCTAGGCATGTATTGCCTGGTTAAAATCTTTTTAGATTTTACTCTGGCTCATGGTAAAGTCAACCTGAGCTACAGTAACTGATTTCTCATTTTTCTCTGTCATACATTTTTATTGTCGCTCCTTAACTGTGCTCCTTTCATGGCTCTGCTGAGTCACTCCCATTTGGCTTATTGACTAGGAACTCAGATCTTCTCTGGTCTTTGGTTTTCCTGAATGATGCTTTCTGTGGTCTCCTAGATAATATTTTCTGATTAACCCTGTTCTGGGCCGGGCGCGGTGGCTCAAGCCTGTAATCCCAGCACTTTGGGAGGCCGAGGCGGGTGGATCACGAGGTCAGGAGATCGAGACTGTCCTGGCTAACATGGTGAAACCCCGTCTCTACTAAAAATACAAAAAACTAGCCGGGCGAGGTGGCGGGCGCCTGTAGTCCCAGCTACTTGGGAGGCTGAGGCGGGAGAATGGCGTGAACCCGGGAGGCGGAGCTTGCAGTGAGCCGAGATCGCGACACTGTACTCCAGCCTGGGCGACAGAGCGAGACTCTGTCTCAAAAAAAAAAAAAAAAAAAAAAAACCTTGTTCTGATGCTATTTATTTTCCTTGAGATTAAATTTCCTCTCAAACAACTTGCTTTTCATGGAGCACCTGGGTGGGAATCAAACCCATTCAAGTACCACCCACTAAGGGGTGTTCCTAAGCCCTCTTCACAATCTGGATTAAAGAATGGGGATAACAAATATCAGTCAGACTGCCCACTCAGGTTCTTTTCTCTAGCCAGACCTTGCAAAGGTTTTCACTCAGGACTTAACAAAAATGAATTGGGAAGAAATTAGCATATACCATGGAATAAGCACATACCGTCACTGGAATAAGCAACAAATGTTTACAAAAAATACAGAATAATTTTTATTTAAAAAGAAGGAAAATAAGTAACTAAAATTTTTAATTTTTCTGTGAACATGAAATCCATCCTCACTATAATATTGTTGAAACTTTTGGTCTGGCATATCTCAGGTTGTGTACGTTCTAACATGGCTGTACATTGTCGCTTTTACTCCCATTACTTTCTATGTTTAATTCTGATGCATTTCAATCTACTAATTTCCTTTTACTGTAACTAAAATACTACTTACCTGAAAATTATCAATTGTCTTATTATTATGCAAAACTCACTCTCTATATTACTAATATTTATAGCCCTAAGTATATAAATTTATGAACTGTATTTTTAACATGCTAGCTGTTTATGTTACTCTTTATTGTACAAGATGGAAGAATTCATGTTCTCTTGATGGAATATTATTTTCTACAAAATACCTGTAGATTTTATACTAGGATGAATTTTATATTTTTCTAAATGTTTAGATGAAATAAATGTTTTATTGAATTAGTACTTTTGAGAAGGTTTTACTCCATTAGGCTTAAGTTTTTTTCTTCCGTATTTTGTTTCTTGCCTCTCCAATGTTTCAAACATCTCCAGTGACCACAGTGACTGGGGTTCAAAGTAGTAGGCTTTTGACAAAATGCTGTCTTGTAGAACTTTTTTTCTTAACTATATATTCACATAACTTAATGCTATACAACATGGGTATGCATAAGATCTACATTTGTTTCCAAAACCAAACAAAACAAAAGTCTAAAAATAATTTGGGCAAATATGTCATCATAGTTCCCGTGAGCACTTCATTTACCAGGATACACTGTGGGATAGAAATGATGAGTCTAGGCCAAGCACAGTGGCTCACACCTGTAATCCCAGCACTCTGGGAGGCTGAGGATGGCAGATCACCTGAGGTCGGGAGTTCAAAACCAGCCTGACGAACATGGACAAACCCTGTCTCTACTAAAGATACAAAATTAGCCAGGCATGGTGGCACATGCTTGTAATACCAGCTACTTGGGAGGCTGAGGCAGGAGAATCGCTTGAACCTGGGAGGTGGAGGTTGCGGTCAGCCGAAATTGTACTCCAGCCTGAGCAACAAGAGTGAAACTCTGTCTCAAAAATAAAAATAAATAAATAAATAAATAAATAAAAAGAAATGATAAGTCTAGGTCAGGGATCATTTCCAAGGTCATCCTATCACAGGTGATGTTCCAGTTTTCTGTGAACATGGTGACATAATCATGCAGACTGTCCAAAATTGAGGCTACATCTCTGGAATGAAGGTTTGTCCTTTAAGGAAGGATAAGAGAAGACATGTGTTCCTAGGAAGATGTGAGTACCCAAAAACTAGTCTATGGAAACATCATGTAGTAAAGTACTTCTCAGTAACTCTAAAGTAGAGAAGCTATTTCAAACTAAGAATACATCTCTAGAGATGTGGAAAGTTTAACCTTCAGTCTGCTGCTAGAAGGGTTGAGGATCTAGATACTCATGCAGTTTGTATAGAGGAATGTGGAAAGAATGAAATACAGAATTTTACTATCTTCCCTGTCATGCATACAACTACCCTTGAGAACATTTTTTAAATTTTTCTGAATCTTTATAGAAGTATAATTGATATAAAAAGAACTGCATGTATTTAATGTATACGATTTCAAAGACCCATGATATCATCACCACAAACAAGGTAACAGACATTACCTTGTTTCCTTGAGAACATTTTAAGAGAAAATGAAAAATTTAAAGATAATAAAAAGAACTGCATATATTTAATGTATACAATTTCAAAGACCCATGATATCATCACCACAAACAAGGTAACAGACGTTACCTTGTTTCCTTGAGAACATTTTAAGAGAAAATGAAAAATTTAAAGATGATCAATAGCTTTTTTTATTATAGGTCCTCTACCTTATTATATATAACATTGTTACATAACCATTAAATGTCACTTGGTCAATAAGACAATGTGTTGTATTAAAGAGACACTCTGCCATATAACCTGTTCATCTGAATGGCCAAAATAATGACCTAAAGTTTATTTGGAATCAAATAACCTATATTTAGTGTTAACTTTTTAAATTTCCTGAAAATACATAATTCTCACTATGGAACCAAATTTTGGATTCTTGACTAATTATCAATATTAACATTCAGGAAAATAAAAATTCTTCAAGAAATTTCCATTTTTGCTAGTTTTATACTTGCTACCAAATTCTTGATGTTTAGGTTGCCAGAATGGAGCACGCAATCAAATTTGAACTTCAGTACTTCCTGAAAGCCCTGATCTTAAGTAATTTGGGACACACACTAAAAAATTATTCATTTTCTTACCTGTAATTCAAGTTTAACTGGGTGTCCTGAATTTTTAGTTGCTAAGTCTAGAAACCCTATTGAGGTTACTAATATACATCACAAATTAACGAATCCAAAATGCACACACCTTAGCCTCAGAAAGACAATGCAGGACCATGAAAGGGAATTGACTGAATTTGCATCTTAGTAAAGTAGCTCAGCCTAAATTAACCATATGTGGAAAATTACAACCTACTGAGTAGGTAAATGGGCATACAGTGGCCAGACCAAGGATCACCAACCACATTGTTTGTCAAGACTAATTAGGATTTAATGAAGATAGCTCCAGTCTTCATTTATCATTCCAGTCTCCATCACAAGACAGACTACAACAAAGAGTTGAAAACTACATCAAAATCTAAGCAGCAGGTGTGGATGTCAAACTCCATCAGGTCAACTAGAAACTAATTGCATATTTCTCTATTTAAACATGACAGATAAAGTACAGACTACTTTACTATTCTTAGCAATTGGAGAGTTTTCAGTGGGGATCTTAGGGAATGCGTTCATTGGATTGGTAAACTGCATGGACTGGGTCAAGAAGAGGAAAATTGCCTCCATTGATTTAATCCTCACAAGTCTGGCCATTTCCAGAATTTGTCTATTATGTGTAATATTATTAGATTGTTTTATGTTGGTGCTGTATCCAGATGTCTATGCCACTGGTAAACAAATGAGAATCATTGACTTCTTCTGGACACTAACCAACCATTTAAGTATCTGGTTTGCAACCTGCCTCAGCATTTACTATTTCTTCAAGATAGCTAATTTCTATCACCCACTTTTCCTCTGGATGAAGTGGAGAATTGACAGGGTGATTTCCTGGATTCTACTGGGGTGCATGGTTCTCTCTGTGTTTATTAACCTTCCAGCCACTGAGAATTTGAATGCTGATTTCAGGCGTTGTGTGAAGGCAAAGAGGAAAACAAACTTAACTTGGAGTTGCAGAGTAACTAAAGCTCAACATGCTTCTACCAAGTTATTTCTCAACCTAGTAACGCTGCTCCCCTTTTCTGTGTGCCTGATGTCATTTTTCCTCTTGATCCTCTCCCTGTGGAGACATATCAGGCGAATGCAGCTCAGTGCCACGGGGTGCAGAGACCCCAGCACAGAAGCCCATGTGAGAGCCCTGAAAGCTGTCATTTCCTTCCTTTTCCTCTTTATTGCCTACTATTTGTCCTTTCTCATCGCCACCTCCAGCTACTTTATTCCAGAGACGGAATTAGCTGTGATTTTTGGTGAGTTCATAGCTCTAATCTACCCCTCAAGCCATTCATTTATCCTAATACTGGGGAACAATAAATTAAGACGTGCATCTCTAAAGGTGCTTTGGACAGTAATGTCTATTCTAAAAGGAAGAAAATTTCAACAACATAAACAGATCTGAAGAAAAACTAAGCTTTTCTAGGACAAACAAAGATAAGATGTTTCTAAATTAACTTCAGTTGTTGCATTAATGTTTTATGGATTAATGACTCCATTAATCAATTAGTATATCTGTTTAATTAATTAAATTACACTAATTAATTAATTAGTATATCTGTAATTGTAATGTAGTGAATCTTATGTACAGCTGGCTGGATCTCTGTATCTCTGTGTCTGACTCTGTCTGTGTCTCCCTGTTTCTCTCTTCTCTCACTCTTCCTTTCTTTAGAGTTGCTGTTTTTGAAAACATGTTTCAGAACAAAGAGAAATTAATATCCTAATATCAACTATTGAGAGTAGAGGGCATTTTCATAGTTCTAAACCCTGTTTCCAGATGCAAAGTTGTGTGACTAATTCAAAAGAACTGTAATAGGATCTTGCTGGTATTTGCATCTTTATGAAAAGCAACTAGTTCCTTCTCATAGTCTTCGTTAGATTGTTCTTCTCAGATCACCCTGCAAAGCTCTACTTTTGGCAAAGACTCACTAAAGTGACAGTTCTTAATAAATGCTGTGGAATTCTATGAATAATCTTATTACAATCACAGTGAAGGTATATATTACGGATAAATATATTGTCAGAGTAAGTTCAAAGATTATTTGAGCATTGCAGGTCAATGAATGAAGGATAATCTGTAAGTAAAAAGGGAAAATTTATGTAGAAAATGTTTATAAAATAAGAAGCCTAAATTGAACTATTAATTATTTATCAAACAAAATTTCTCTACAAAAGAGGTACTTCCACGGACTGCACCAGGCAGTGATTGTCAAGATGCTGTGATAAGACTTTCAATCAAAAGCTTATATATGGTTATGTTAAAATGTCAAAACTCTCAAAGGATATATTGCCTCAATGTAGATCATCTCTACACCCCAGGGAAACATTGTTTGGATTGTATATAAGATATCTTTTTAAAAAGGGTTCAATGATTCTCTTTCAGTAATTTGTAGAACAGCAAAACATCTGTAAGAATATAGAATACATTAACAAACACTATCAAGCAACCCGAGCTGATATTTATGAAAGACTCCGTAAAAGGAAGAGAGAACACATTCTCTTTTCAAGCATATATTGAATATTCTCCAGACAATACCATATGTCAGGCCACAAAAGGAAATATGCATTTGGGACATGCCATCAAAAGCACATCATTTGTATTGTGGCAAAGATATTTTGGGATGATCAATCCTGTACTAACCAGCCTAGAGTAGCCAGGAACTTTGTGTACAAAAAAGAAAATATTTACAAATAAAGAGATATAAATGTTCTCATCAATAAATTTGGTAAAAATCAAAATTAGTTTTATACTAGTTTTATTTGTTCATTTTTCCTCTCTGACTCTGAAAGTGAAAAAGATACACATTGATTTAACTGCTAAATTTACAAAGATGCTTTGGGTACCTTGTAATTTAAAAAAAAGAAAAGAAAATTAGATGCATAGGCTAAAGCTTACTTTTTTTTAATACTGTCTTAAAGAATACCTTTCCTTATACCCTAACTGAGCCAAGGCCCAGTTTGTGTTAATTTTTTAGGCATAGAAACAAAAGAAACTTGAAGGCTGATTGGAATCTTGGAAGCTCCACATTTGGTGCCTCTATATTGTGGACCCTAGAAATCTAATTGCAAACATGGCACCTCAAAATTCTATTTCTCTGTGGTCAGCAGTCAGGCAAAGGATACAGAGGTAGAAATAGTAGCAGTGTTAGTAACCTCTTACTGTACATAATTCTCATTCTGGTCTACCTAGGATGAAAGTAATATAACCAAGGTAAGTATATTTTCTTCTGAGATTATATTAATTCTGAGAAATTATGCAAAGATGATAACTCAGGGTTGAAAGAAATATTTGCACTGTCTTTCACTCCAAGTATTTAGGAGAGAGTTTTCAGGCTTTCTCTAGGTGAGTGTAGTGAAGGGGCTACAGAAAACACAGAAAGACTCCTTTTTTCTGTTTTCGTTCCCAGCTTAATAAAAAGATATCCATTAGCACATTGAATGTCTGACTGTTAGACTCTGTCTTGGGTGCAGAAAATACAGATCAAATGTGACAAAATCCATGCTCTCATGAAATGTGCAGTCATAGAAAGCATTATGGAAGACAAATAATGATCAAGTAAACAAAGAAATTATTATGAGTCATGATTAATGCAATTGAGAACAACTGAAGGTGAAGGATACCTGTATATAGCATAGTCAGGATAGATCAACCCAAGAAAATGAACTCTTAGCTGAGACTTGAATGACAAATATAATCTAGTCATACAACATCCTGGAGAAATAACATCTCCAAAAGATGGCAGAGCAAGTAAGTGCAAAGACCTTAAGGAGCAAATGTTTGAGAAAATGTGACAAAGGTCTGAATGACCAAAGTGTGATGAGCAAGGAGTGAATGGCAGGAGATCATGGTCAAGATCATAAAAGACCTTGTAGGTCGTGAGAGGGAATTTGGATTTAAGTGCAATGGAAAGACATTGAAGAATTTAAAGCTATCTGCAACATAATTTGACTCAAATATAGACTTAAGTTCACTTTAGTTATAGGAAGAATACTGTATGCTTTGGTGAGGGAGTACAATTAGGAAGCTGATAAGTTATTACAGTAAGCAGTCCCTATGAGGTATCATGATGGTTCAGATCTGATGGTGGCAATGGGGTTAGGGGATTTTCTTAATGAATGATTTATATATATTATGTAGGATAAAGCTGCTAGGTCTTGCTGAATGATTAGATAAAGGCAGGAATTGAAGGACAAGAGGATTCAAAACAACTTTTTTTTTATTATTGTACCTAAGTTCTGGGGTACATGCGCAGAATGTGCAGGTTTGTTACATAGGTATACAAGTGCCATGGTGGTGTGCTGCACCCATCAATCCGTCATCTACATTAGGTATGTCTCCTAATGAGATCTCTCTCCTAGTCCCCCACCTCCTGACAGGCCCCAGTGTATGATGTTCCCTCCCTGTGTCCATGTGTTCTCATTGTTCAACTCCCACTTATGAGTGAGAACATGTGGTGTTTGGTTTTCTGTTCTTGTGTTAGTTTGCTGAGAATAGTGGTTTCCAGCTTCATCCATGCCCCTGCAAAGGACATAACAACTGGCAGTGTATGGCTATTTAGGAGTTTGGGAGTAATTACTAGAAATAAAAATTATGTTTTTTACATGTTATGCTTGACACATCTATGAAATAACCAAGTGAAGAGCTCAGATAGATAATTGGATATATGAATCTGTAACTAACGATAGAACATCAGAGATATAAATTCCAAAGTCATCACCATATAAATGGGATTATCTTTAAAAATAAAAATAAATCACTGATGAGGAAGTGACACCATATCTGAGCCCTGAGATGTTTGAATCTGTCGAGGTTAGATGGATAAAAAAAAAACAGCAAAAGAAAATGAGAAGCATCTCATTTGTTATCTTCTGTTAGGAAGACAAGAAAAAAGCAAAGAGTGTGGTGGAACGGAAATGTAATAAAGAAATGTAACTCACATCACTGTGTTACAAGGAGGGAGATATCAGCTTTTCAAATGCTGCTGAGAAAAACTAAATTGACAAAGTAGCCATTGGATTTAGCAACATGGATAAAATTGGTGTCTCCAACAAGAGCAAAGGCAGTGGAGTGTAGGGGCAGAGGCTAGGTCAGTGGGGAAGGTTAGGGAGAGAATGAAATGAGAACACAAAGACAGGGTAAATACATAATATTTTTAGTAAGTTTTGTTACTGAGGAAAATAGAGAATGGAGTTTGGAAATGAGGCAAAGTTTTAGTGTTTTCATTGGTTTTATTTTTCTATAGGATGATATGGTGAGTGCATGCAAATTGAAATGATTTAATAGAGGGGGCAATTTTAATAATATAGGAGAGGATTAGTAATTGCTGAAGCAATTATGTTACAATCATGGTCCTGACCCCAAAAAGTAAACCCTCGGACCAGAGATGAGGATATTTAGGTGAATGAAGCTGAAAATATTTAACTCTCAGATTCCCTGAAACTTCAGGGCCACGAGAAGCAGATTCCTCCCCGTTGCAAGAGAAGAATAGCCACACTATTCCTGGATACTGTTCAACTAACTCAACCTCAGGCAAGTTAACGCTTGTTTTTCACAAGATCTGCCCTACCAGTCCTCAGTATTTCAGATCAAGATTTCGGCACAGCCCAATCAGTGAAGCACAGTTTCTCTTCCAAAGCAAAGTAGCTTTAAGCTAATACTATCTTATACTGCTAATATCTCAGTAGGAATAAGGAAACATGCTGGAAATGGGTCTTGAGGTTGGTGACCCACCTCAAGAACCAAGAGGTCCTCTTTATTTAGCTTGTATTCGGTTGGTGCAAAATGAATTGCGGTTTTGCCATTAAAAGTAATTGGCAAAAACCGCAATTACTTTTGCATCGATATGGAAAATTGAATGAGGGCCTTTCAGTAATGATTTGGGGCTCAATATGCTGGCATAGGCACATAAATCCAGGCCTCATATTTTATTTGGATGACTCCATGGAACTTGGACACACTGATGACTTGGTATGTAAGTTGGAGTTGCTGCAACTTCTTTGATATGATATTAGGAAGGGATCGGGGAAATTCAGGGAGATGGGAAAGACAGAACAGACAAACCACGTAAGACCTGAGAAACTACCACCTGACTGTGTGCCCTGAGAGATCCCAAAGGACATCCGTTTACTGAGACATAATGAATGCCCTGGTGAGGGGAGCACTGGTAGCAATGAGAACTCAGTGATGGGCTGTTCTCTGTAAGCCAGAGTCACCTAGTGGGAGAGCCTGTCAAGAAACTGGACTCCCAAGTGCCAATGAGCTTGCTGAAATTGCTATGTGCAGTACTCAATGATTGTTACTACATTTGACAACAAGGCCAAACAGAGATAATCAGAATACCATGTGACAACAAGGCCAAACAGAGATAATCAGAATACCATGATGTACAGGAATCTGCAGTGATCACTAACAGAAATGGTGTTCTTAGAATTCATACAGAAAGAGAAATAAACTGTTTCTTGATTTACATAAGAAAAAATGAAATGCCAAGAAGCTAGTGCAATGAAAAATCACTGTTCCGCCTCAAGCTTCAAGCACAAAGTCACTTTACTAAAAAAGTCCTTTGATTGAGTAGGAGACTGTATTCTGTTGAGCAAAGACCCTGTAAAGTGATTGCAAGTTTTCATGGTAAACGTCTTCCCAATTCTCAGTCCTCTCCAAGGGAACTGCACTCGCTTGACAGAATTGAGAAAGAGGAGTCATTATATATTTTAAGAGTTTTTAAATAAAGGGTTTGCCCTGACACTATTATCAGAGCAATTGAAATGCCATTATGATCTTCCAGCAAGAGTGGAGGCTTTGGGGACAAATTCCTTGGTGGCTCCAGTGAATTCACAGTCCTACCTCGTGGTTATTTCCCTAGTTATCAAGAATAAAATTGGGATAGACATACTTAGCAGCTATCAGACACAGTATCAAGGCTCTTAAATTTTAGGTAGACAGAATGACTCTGGTGCATGTCAGCAATTCTGTCTTCACCTATTCAAGTTTTGAGTAGACGTTGAAAGACAAATATTAATTGGGTGCCAAAAAGGTAGAAATATGTGCAGACTTGACTTCTTCTGAAAGCCGTTCTCACATAGTAAGAAGTGAATGTTCAGGTTTTTAGTCTAATTCTAGCATCTCTGGGAAGATATTGGCAATTACTGGTTTGTAACCAACCATATGGTTGTATTTCCAAAGGCAAAATATATGTGTACAGATAATCTATTGTAGTTCTCAGTCCAGGCCCATCATAATCATGTGGAGAGAGAAGTCTTTCTCAAACCTGATCAGGACACCTATGCGTCTAATAAAGAACCGTATAATCTGGTATTTAACTTCTGTATGCTAAAATGTAAATTATTTAATTACAATTTATATACAAATCCCAACGTTTATCCTTAAAATATCTCGATCAGATAGTAGGATGCTCTCTGTGACTGGAATTTAGGTGTAGCTAGGAAAAAAAAAAAAAAAGCTGTTCTAAAACTGTTAGAAAATTGCTGCTAGGAATCTTAAGTGTGGCAAAAGAAAATTATTTTGGGAAATGATATCTTTGTTCCAGTTAGAATCATATAATAAGCTTGTATGGCCCAAAATATACAAATCAACAATTTATTCATTGTTCTCTTCCTTGTCTTCCAATAATCATTCTGGAAGGGTCCTATTCTCTGCACTAGGGATACAAAGGTAATGAATTATTTACCACTTTGTAAGCAATTCAGAATCCAATGGAAGATTTAGCTTGTGCGTAACACCTAATGATGATCACCATCAGAAAAGTGGCAAAATAAGGTGTTATGAAAGTTCAAAGCAGGGGGTGAAAGGGAAAATCTCATGCAAGAGGTGATAAGTGATCTGCAACAGGGAGAGTAAAGGGCTGGGGAAAGTGGAATGAAACGCATGGCTAAGTCTATGCATAGCTCATGGCATTTTCATTGATTTAGGAACACTGAACACTCCAGCAAGGCTGAAGAGAAACAAAGGAAGCTAAAGTTGGAAATGTGGGTTAGTTTCATAATGTTGAAAGACATTGATGTAAATAGCAAACTGAATTTGTTATTTATTCTGCAGCCAACAAAGAGACTTTTGAGAGGGCGTAAGATGATCATTCTTTTGCAAATACTTCAGATTGGGATATAAATGATTTAACAGTATAAAATTTTGCTTAAAGAAAGGGGGTACCTCTTTATCAAGATATTTACTTTAGAAGATGACACACAGGAGGCAGGACTAGCTTGCAGCTCCTGCTCCTATGAGCAGTGTGTGGAGACTAACATTGTGAACTTTAGCTTCAAGAACTACTGCAGAAACATACTAGGAAAGTCAAGAGAATCCACAGACCCTTTGAAGGAACTGGATCACCACCGCAGGCTCCCTGAGACACTGAGAAACTGTGCTGTTACCCACGGCTGCAAGACCTGAAGACAGATCATATCACAAGACTCTTTGCAGACACTCCCCAGTACCAGGCCGGAGCCTGGTAGCTCCGCTGGGTGG